CCCTAAACCCTAACCCCTAATCCCACACTGACACTCTAAAACGAATGGGCTGCTCATCCCTCCCTCCCTAGAGTTCCCCCAGCCCTACCCAAAGGCCGCATAGTAGTTCCTTTTTGGGGTTACCTTATAGGGTTCTATATATGAACCCCAAAAAGGAACTACTTTAGGGCCTATGGGTACCCACATCCCCTTCCCCCCGTCTCAGCAAGCCCCTCACCTGCCCTCCTTCCACAGCCCAGCCCATGCCAAAACCAAAGCTAAGTTCGATCAAGCGAAACTTACGGTCAAAACGGTTTGGGGATCCACACCCCTCTGAGAATTTCTGTCAGTGGCGCCCAGACCTTTAGACCAATCGGCCTACTTCTGTAGGTCAAAACTTGCGGGGCGAAGTCCCAACAACAGCTGAACTTCAAACCCTTAAGAACCCTAAACCCTAAATCCGAAATCCTGAACTCCAAACCCTTCAGCCCCAAGCCCCGCTCCCCACCCAAGCTTGCAAGAGGCAGCCTTGTCGAAAGCCCAGCCTCCGACTCTGGGACGGAAGATTCATGGGGTCTAGGGTTTAGGGTTTTGGGGTTTAGGGTTTTGGGGTTTAGGGTTTTGGGGTTAAGGGTTTTGGGTTTTGGGTTTTGGGGTTTAGGGTTTAGGGTTTAGGGCTTTTAGGGTTTCGGGTTTAGGGTTTGTTCAAGGTTGGGTTCTTTTCTGGGCTCAGGTGCTGGTGTAGGATGATGGTTTTATGCTTAGGGCAATCTTAGGGCCAAGGAGTCATGGTTAAGGGTTGGGTGATTTGGCGATGGAGGGGGAGTACGTCGCGCGTAGGGTGCAAGAGCGACCGCAAGGGCTTTCAGGAGGGTCACTGTTATCATGTAGTATAGGGGCCTTAATAATTAGAATAGGGTTTCGGGGCCCACTATACAATAAATATATTAAGGAACCCCCAAAATAGTATTGGTAATCATTTAGGCCCCTACATTAACCGCGCAGCTACCAAGGGTTTCCAGAGTAATATAGAGTAAAGAGGTCGGAACCACTATCATGATCATCTGCTTGTAGTTCCCGAAACGAAGCACAGCGCGCCACCGAAGCCCTATTCTCATGATTTAGGCCCCAAACCCTCAACCCTAAACCCTAAACCCTAAACCCTAAACCCTAGGCCCCCAATAAAACTATAAGGTTAAGGTTTCAGGATTCAGGATTCGAGGGTTTAGGGTTTAGGGTTTAGGGTTTAGGGTTTAGGATTTGAGGCATAGGAAGCTAAGTTGACCAGCAGCCCCCAAACCCCACCAACAAATGGAAGGTTCCACATTATTTACGGGCCTCAATAATTACCAAAACCATTTTCGGGGTTCCTTTTTTTTAGGATAGAGCACCTTAAGATAGGACATAAAAAGGTAGCTCGAGCCCCAGTTAGGGCATAGGGATCACAGGTTGGCTTGTAGGTCCCGGACCTCAAGGCTTATATTATGATAGACCCTAAACGTTAAACCCTCAGTGACCCTCGAGGCTATGACTGCGGCACTGCGAGGGACGCGGGCTGTGGCGATGAGGATTGAGTCTCTTTTGATGGCTGAGGGTTCAGGGATGTGGGCTCGTCTGCAACTTATGGTCATTGTCCTGATGGTTGCAAGTTTTTTGTGCTGTATTCATCATAGTTTTCGTTGTTTCTGACGGTGTGCGGATTTTCTGGCTTCTTTCACTCCTTTGGTTGTTACTCGGCCCATAGATCGTCCTTCGGCTTTGAGCCTAAGCAAATGGTCATACATATATATATATATATGTATATATATATATATGTGCGTGTTTTTAGAGACGTAGTCTGACTATAGAGCCCGTATATGAGCAAAAGGGCTTGGGTTCCAAAAACCTCTAATCAATCAAATTCCTAAACCCTAAACCCTAAACCCTCGAACGCCTAAGCCCCCAAAACCCTTGACTTCTAGCCCTGCACCTCAAGCCCTAGAGCTGCAAACGCAAGGATTCCGGATTTCTATTGTGAAGTTGCAAGCTCTTAATGTCAGCTGGGGATGGTCTGAGCCACGACGGAGAGGGTCTTCAGGTTCAGCGGTTTTTTCTGTTTGGGGGGGGGGGGGGGTTTAGGGTTTCAGAGTCTGGGGCCAAGTTTCGGGCTTGGGGTTGGAGGTTTGGGGCTTTGGGACACGATTCATGACCTTGGGTGAGAAGGTTTAGGGCGGGTATCAAGTTTGTGTAATGCGGGCCCGCTCCTTGCCCACTTCCTTCTCTAAAGAAGGTGAAGAGTTGGGATGGCACGAAACAGACACAAGCAAGCAGATCTGACGAGGGAGCGAGAGAGAAAGAGAGAGAG